CCCATGGACAGTAAAAGGATAATAAAAGAGTATTATGAACAACTGTATGCACCAAAATTTGATAACCTAGACGAAACGGACCAACTGCTTCAAAGACACAACCTGCCAATACCCACACAAGAAAAAAAAATTTTTATACAGTTCTTTATTAAACAAATTGAATCAACAACTAATGACCACCTAACACAGAAAGAGCCAGGCCCTGATGGGTTCACTAGTGAATTCTACCAAACATTTAAGAAGGAAATTATACAAATTTCTCTACAATCTCTTCCAGAAGATGGAAGAAGGAATACCTTCTAATTCTGTGAAACCACCATTACCCTAATACCAAAACCACACAAAGACATTACAAGAAAACTTATAGATTAGTACCCCTTCATGAACACAGATGTAAAACTCCTCAACATAATATTAGTAAATCAAATCAATGTAAAAAAAAATTTATGCCCTATGACTAAGTGGGCTTTATTCCAGGTATGCAAGATTGGCTCAACACTTGAGAATCAATTACCTAATCCATCACATCAAGAGGCTAAAGAAAAATCACATGATAGTATCAATTGACAGAAAAGCACTTCGCAAAATTCAAATTCATTCACAACAAAAGCTCTCAGCAAACTAAAAACAGAAGGGAACTTCCTCAACTGGTAAATAAACAAACAAAACTTTCCTACTAAGATCAGGAACAAGACAAGAACATCCACTCTTACCACTTCTTTTCAAAATCATCCTGGACATCCTAGCTAATGCCATGAGATAAGGAAATAAAAGGTATAAATACTGGGAAGGAAGAAATAAAACTCTGTGTTTGCAGATGACATGATCATCTATATAGAAAATCCAAAAGAACTGACCAAAAAACTCCTGGAACTAATACAATTACAGCAAGGTTGCAGGATACAAGGTTAATATACAAAAAAGTCAATTGCTTTCCTATATATATACCACCAATGAACAATACTATTTATATAACCTTAAAAATGAAATATTTAGGTATAAAATAAATCTTGTACATATGTACAAGTTTAAGAGGAAAACTATAAAACTCTGATTTAAAAAATCAAGTAAGATATAAATAAATGGAGAGACATTCCATGTCATGGATGGGAAGAGTCAATAATGTTAAGATGTCATTTTCCCTAACTTGATTCATAGGTTCAATGCAATTCCAATCAAAATCCCAAAAAGTAACTTTGTTGGTATTGACAAACTGGTAACATGGAAAGATAAAAGACTAGCAGTAAGCAATATACTGAAGAAAAAGTCAGAAGACTTGATACCGCCCAACTTCAGGACACACTATAAAGCTAACAGTGATCGAAACAGTGCAGTAATGGGAAAAGAGTAGAGAAGCAGATGAGTAGAACAGAACAGAGAGCCCAGAAATAGACCCACACAAAGTCAGCTGATCTTTGACGAAGAAACAAAGGCAACTCAATGGAGACAGGATAGTTGTCAACAAATAGTACTGGAACAACTGGAAATCCACGTGCAAAAAAAAGTGAATCTAGACACAGACCTTATACCTTTCACAAAAATTAATTCAGAATGTTATCACAGACCTAAATGTAAAATGCATAACTTTAAAACTTCTAGAAGGTAACATCAGAGAAAAATCTAGAGACCTTGGGTTTGGCAGGTCTCTAGATACATCTATATTTTTAGATACAGCACCAAAAGCATGATTCATAAAAGAAAAGTGATTAAGTTGGACTTCAATAAATTAAAACACTTACGCTCTAAGAAAAACACTTCTAAGACATGAAAATACAAGCCAGACTAGGAAAAAATATTTGCAAAACAGTTACATGACAGAGGACTTAAATCCATATATACAAAGAACTCTTAAATCTCAACAATAGAACTAAAATTAATAAATACACAAAAGATCAGAACAGACCTTACCGAAGAAGTTACACAAATGGCAAATAAGCATATGAAAAGATGCTCAACATCATGTCACTATGGAACTGCAACTTAAAACAATACCACTACATACGT